CTTGAAATTTTTTAAAATTTTGTGAAACCAATTTGAAAAAAATGTATACTAGGAATAAAATTGATTAATTTTTTACTCAATAAAAAAATTCATAATAACAAAAGAGTCTTAAAATTTACCAAGGAGTACTATCAATTTTTTTCAGAATTTTCCGAGTTAATTTTCGAATTCGTGGAAAATCGGAAAATCGAAATTTCTAAATTCGCTGTAAAAAAATCTGAAAAAATTTGAGAGTATTTCTTGACTAATTTTAAGACATTTTTGTTCTTAGAAATTTTTCACTGAACTTCGAAAAAATTCAAGTTTAAAAAAAAAATTTTTCCTTTCGAACGCCATTTTGTGTTTGCCATTTAGAATTTCGGAAAAAATCCAACGGCATTTGAAAGAAAAGACATCTATAACACCGATAACAGTATTTCCAATGGTGTGTGCAATGTTTTTCCATTTCAAAATACACTTTTTTTAGAAAAAAAAACGCGAAAAATTTGTGAATTTTCCGGAAAACCGGCCTATAACGTTTCCGACTTACAATTTAGGTAAATTTTGTTAACGGCATTCGAAAAAGGAGGTCAAAATCTATAAAATATGATGCTTGATAAATTTTTCATACGATTTTTTCATTAAAAGATATGAGGATGAAAGTTAAGAAAAAATTTGTGTTATTTGGGAGGAAAAGGGTTAATCAATTGTTAACGTATTTACATCCGGTTTCTTCTTGTTCATATACTAATTTATTAGTAAGAGAACATAGGAAAATGGTTTATTTGGCAAAATTGTTTATTATAATTGTTATATAAATAAACAAACATGAAACAATGTCATTTTTTTCGGAGAAATTCATTATTGAAAAACATAATCAGTGTATTAACTTTAAAATCTGTACTCGGGGGTTTTCGAGGTCGCTGATTACGAATATGAAGTCCAAATCCCAAAATTTTCAATTCAAAATGGCGTATTCAAGATGGCGGTTCCAAAATTTTGAAAAAAAGAGATATATCAGCTTAAAAATCTCTACTCGGGGGTTTTGGGGTCGCTGATTACAAAAATAACGTCGGAATTCCAAAGTTTTCAATTCAAAATGGCGGCAGAAATTAAAAAAAAATAAATGTATCAACTTGAAAATCTCTACTTGGGGGTTTTTTAGATTGCCGATCATAAATATAACATCAAATCAAATAAAAAAGTCGAAGATCGAACGGACGTAGCCCGCTAAATTTCAAAATTCACCTTACTTTTTGATCACACCTCGTATATATGAACTCGATATCTGTACAGGTAAATCGAGCACAGATGCTCGAAACCTTTCAGTTTCCGTCTGTTTCGGATCAAGAGTGATCATCAAATTCCTTCAAAATTTACTGGAAACCGTTGAAAAAGAAAACCTCCAGAAATACCATTTATTTTTCGATAATTACTTAACTTCTCCAATTTTTGCAAAGATAATAGAAAAAACCATTCCTGAATATTTTGCAGAATCTGCTGTTACCTTTGGTAATTTGTTTAAATAATTTTTGATAAACAATTGGGATCGCTGAAAGAAAAAACACGGGTAACTGTTTTTTTACCTTCGCTATGGATGCAATAGTTAGTTTGGGGCTGTCTCGGCTAGATTCGGCTTGGGTATTAATGGGTTGTTAAACTCTTTTTAAAGTCTTTCAGTATCTATCATATACCGCGATTAACCTCATACCAAGAACGCGCCTTATCACGGAACGCGGTGCCTATTCCTGTTAGCATCTCTACATCAGAGATGCCATAATAGCGCTGGCAATCGCTCAAACCCAACAAAAAGTTTAGCGCATTCGTACTATCTTTGCCGGAAAAACGAAGAGACCAAATATTGAGCGCGCTTACTCCTTTCACCGGTATGCCGTTTATATATTTGACTCTCGGGGGAGAACTCTCTTTGCTCGGCCTTTTTGCTTTAATCTGCCTAGTTTTTCGTGACGTATTAACCTTATTAGCGTCGCAACTATCAGTATCCGATAGACCTGCACTTAAGTCGTTCCCACTAATGTTTTCTATCTGTTTCGCCTGCTTCTGTTTAGGCCCACTCATACTAATTATACTTTTCTCGCTTATTACTGACCCTTCTCCTAACGAAGCTGGTATTCTCGTTTCCTCTCTAGTAGTTGCCCGTATCTCACGCTTCCAATCTTCTACCCAAGAACTTATCCTTGGCGTGAGATATTTTGTGCTCGCCGATCTACTTGAATCGGCATAGAGGATTGTACCACCTGCTCTATTGCTTGGTACGTTCGCGTGAGCTTATAACTCAGTCGCAACCGCTGGCACGTTTAGCGCCGCGCGGTCGTCGAGTGACTTGGCCTGAGGCGGCAATGAAGCTTGCTGCTCGGCTTGATTCACTCTACTGTGCATCGCCTCTCTTTCAACCCTAAATATTGTGCTCGCACCATCTGTAATGCCTTGTCGCACTTGCCGCCTGTATATCCAATGCGGTACCGCTGTGACGGCACCCCAGATTAGGCTTATCGCACTAGTACTATGCTCACCCTGATCTTGCTCTTTTTGTTCGCGTGTGCGTTCGGTTCTGCTATCCGACGGCAAGCGAGCTGCTGTCGGCAGCGTCCCGTTAATACCGGACACAACTGCATTTTTGCCCGGCGGTCGATTTTGCTCGGAAGGAGTGGTAACATCTGCTCTCACCTGTATCGCCTGCTCTTACTTACGTAGTAATTCGGCCGCCAAGTGCGCTGCAGTTATTGTAGATTCATCGCTAAGGTTCGCGATTCGCGCGCTAATTACCGTTGTTTCCTGTTGCTTGATATACAGCCTATCAGAAATTCGGCCTGACGCAAAAACGCCCATGTGCAAGGGTGGCTGCAAATCTGGTCGCTCTTTTAATAACATATACCGATAATACCGGGCACGTAACTTCTCAACATCACCGTGTAGATTAACTCTAATAGAATAGCTGGTTCTGAGGAGTCAATTTAACATTTTAACTTTTTTCGCATGCGTATCACGTAATGACCTGCGCATGACTGTCCTATTCTTATATGCTAACGATATTGTTGCTTCTAAAAATGAAATTTCGTATGCTAACTATGACGCAAGTTATACGGTTATACAAATCTCGATCGATCCGCGTAACTTGATACCTTTCTAAGCTATAAGCCGGAAAGAAATTGTCTTGCTTAAACTTCAAGAAAGAAATTATTATGTTTCAAAATTTAACTTACCGTATTATTTAAATAAGCATCTCGGTAAAATTCTTTATTTTTAAAATTTTTTACGAAGAATCTAAACGAAAAAAAAAGAATGCGTTCGTATTTAGCGTCAAAGCGACTCAATGACGCATACGCGGTCACCCGACTCCGCTATGAATAAAAGGTCACTGGCAACTACTAACAAAAAATTCAAAATACCGAGAACTCGAAATTCTTTTCCGAACGTTCTTCTACGCGTACAATTTTTTTCCCTTAGTATACAAAGAAACAAATTGACCACTATTTATAAAATTTATGACCTGACCATTTCTCTCTTTTGTCTCTCGATTGCCAGACCCACATGGGATGCCATGTGACAAAATAACCCGCTGCCACTAATTATTTATTACCTATGTAAATGAGGCGTTCTTGCTCATGGCAACCGAGAAGGGAAAGAGAAGAAAGGTCATTAAATAATTAAGCCAATATCTATATTTAATAAACCCGCAATCTTATTATTAATAACAAGGTTTTATTTATGGGTATTATTAAGGTGAAATTGAGTTTATCGAATGGGATCCCATTTTTTTACCTTGAAGAGAAAAAGATCGTTTGAGGTGGCCGATTGGCAGCTTAGGAACGATTAGAGCTGCACAGCTTCTGGCAGGTCGTAAAGGCGAAGAGGCGCGCGGAAGGGGAGGAGAGAATATATAATAGAGCAAAGGATGAAGAACGAGGGTTGGGTCATAGTTGGTAGAAGAGAAGAGTTGTACGTGAAGATTCGGCTCGAGAAGTTACCGTTGGTTACAGCATGGAGGACTTTGGTGTGAATTCGGTATACGCTGAGGATTACTGCAGGAATCTTCGTTTTGGTTTTGTTGGCTGGTGATTTAGTGAGCTGGATCGTCCTTGGCCTTTGCAGCACAACTATCGGTATTTGCTCCGTAATCCCCGATGCCTGAGCCCATTGGAAGGAAAGATGTGGCAGCTGGCGCAACCGATACAGTGTGAGCTCTTCTCTCTCTCTTTTTGCTCCTTAGAATCAGTTCTAGTGCGCGCATGATAGTTGTGATGTCGTAAACTTCCGACAATCGGGTGATCTGCGGTGCGCAGAATTACGACCACTGAGCGACCTTTGTTTGTCCGAGTCTGCCGAAGAGGCTCACCGTTGCCTGCCGTGCAGAATTGTTAAACACCTTTTGCGAACAAGGATTGCGGTTGAACACCTCTCTGGGAATACCGCTTCGCCCGGTAAACTTATTTGTTTGTAATTTCTTTTGCTCTTTATATATATTTTTATTATTATTGTTATTATAATAAAGAGATGGTTTCGGATTTTTTGTAAGCTATGTAATTAAATTTTAAGTTATTTCTTCTTCCCGTCTAAAGCTTTCTCACTTACGAAAATCGCAACCTGCCAGCCCGGTTGATTGTTCAGTAGCTGAAGTATTTTGCCTACCAAATTCCCGCGTAAATAAGTAAATATAGTCGCGGGCAAATTTTATTGTAAAAACCGACTCTCCTTTCACTATTGAATAACTGGAGAAAAATCCTATAAACTTTTGTATGAAACATATTTTTTTTAAATGCGTTTCCGCCAAGTTATCATGCTGTCCTGAAACTTTTCAGACAGTCTGTATAATCATTGTGTAAAAATATATGTAATGATATTAAGTATATATTTCGTTACGGAAATATTTATAATACCAGCCTTTTTTAAGAAACGAATAGTAATTTAAAATTGCATGCTAATAAATGAGTAAATCAATCCATTTAAATAAAATGGAAACAATGATAGACACTAAATGATATATATTTTTTATGTTACAGGGATAAGATTTTCAAACTGATTTTGAGTAATATAAGTCACTCAAATTGCGAGGTAAGGTAGTACCAACCTTTTTTCTATAAATCATGTACTACAATCAATTGTTAAAACAATAATATAATAAATTCTATAAGAGTTATAGAAACTATAAGTAAGATAACAGAAGAGTTCTGATGCATCAAAAGTTAACACTCGAATTCAATTTAATTATAATCGTCAAGGAATGGAACTTGAGAATGGGCAAAATGAAAAATAACTAGGTCACGTTTGATGAGAAAAAGGATGAACAACGGTCGATTACTTGAAAAACTGTCATGTAGGTTCAATGCACAAGACGTGTCCGAAAAGTATCTGGAATACCTTTGAATCTTCGTGTGAGAACGTTTGAGCGTCCCTGTTGAATACCACAGTCAGCTACAACTCTTCAAGAAGTTGCTCGATACCATAGTTTATGACAAGACGTCTTCGGTCATTTGCATTTGTTTATTGCTAAAAATGAACGAAAAAGTTGAATAGCAAATTTGCATTAAGTTTTGCTTTAAACTTCGGAAGATTTATGCGGAAACGATTACAATGAAGCAAAAGGCTTTCGGAGATGACTGTATGGGTAAAAGTCAGATATATGCACGGTAAAAACGATTTAAAGGTGACCGCTTATTTGTTGACAGTGACTCGCGTTCCGGACCTCCTCCAAGCACAACCGCATTGAAAAATATCGATCTTGTGTAATTCACGATTGAAGATCATCGGTTAACTATGTGGAAACTAGAATATGATCTTAAAATTTCTAAAACCACTGATTGGAAAATTTTAACTGAGAAACTGAGAATCACTCGTGTGTGTGCAAAATAAATCGGTTTAACAACGTAGAAACTATTCAAATAAATACGATGAGTACACTGATGGCTATGCCGAAAACCGACTTCCAGGACTGTTTCAAAAAGTTGATAAGCTACTAAGAATGCGTTATTCCGTTAAATGGGAACTTTTTTGAAAGGTATCACTTGTTCGATGACGTAGATTAACACTAGCGTGGATATGAAGGTATTCCAGCTACTTTTCGAACGAACTCATATACTACTTTAAAGTAATTTGGTCTTAAAATACAGCAACATCATTCGAGGTTGACGAACTGTAGTCAGCATTGAGGTCATTTGTTTAAAATATTATCGTAGTGCGGAAGAAAGGAATCAAATGTGTCGAAAAAGTATTGAGACAAGTCCGGAAGATTATGAATAAATCACCTTGACAAGTAGAGTGAATGTAGATATTTTTATTTCAATAAGCAAAAATTCCGAGTGATTATCGAAGAGATTAGTCGAAATAGCCGATATCTTTACATCGAAGATTTTCCAGTTGTAGAGGCCAACTCTTTAACACCACGTTCACGATGGAAAAAGTTTAAGTTCTTTAATGAGAAATATGAGTTTTAAACTTCATGCTTAAGGAAAGTCTTGGTCACCGCAATTGCATCTTAGAATTTGTAGCTGACGTGGACATCAAGAACGGCGAAGTGAGCACTGTTATTGAGGCGATTCACGTTGATATGGACGAACGAAAATAATAAACGGCAGGGTACCAAATAAATACTAATTTCACGTTGAGTAAACTTTAATTTTTTACACGAAAACTATATATTTTACAACAAATTCTCAAAAATAAAAATATCTTAGAATTAGTCAAAGTATCGGAGAATTATTTCAGAATTTACTGATAGAATTTTAGAATTTATGAATTTATGACTGAAAATTCAAAATTTTCTTAATAAATATATTATCAAAATAAAATTAATATCTAAACATTATTCCCATAATTAAGTATAGGATAATAATCCTAATTATATAATAATAATAATTTTTAATTATTTGTAACGGGGTAGCTATCCGTTTATTTAATTATGCACACGATCGCATCGAAGAGCGTGCGGGATTATCTACACGTTCAAATTTAAAAATTGGAGAGTAGGAGGGAACAGGTGTCAGTCAACCAACTTTCTACTAACACAAAAGGATAATATCAAAATTACGGTTAATATCAAATGCGAGATCGTTTATTTCCTCTAAAGTCTACAATGTATTCGGCCCGCGTGTTTATGTTTACAAAACGCGCGCGCAACAATAACATGCAGTGTCGGATCGCTCACCGCTCTTTATTCGCCGGGTTAATACATGCACGCTTCTTACGAAATACGAAAGATTAGTCAATAACAATTATAGCAATCGCGGAATTAAGCTGGCCAACTTACCTTATTAGCAGTTGTACGGTAGCACGAGAGTAAACGTTCGCACCCTAGTTGCGGAAAAGTCAGTCTTTGTTACGAGGTATCTCGCGTTTTCAGTTTCACCCTCGATGGCAAAACTGCTCACTCACACACACTAGCACGCAGTCGTTCTGGTCTGGGTCAGGCACAGCTCCTCTCGATCCTTATCAGTTGACTCTGTCAGGCGATATCGATAGCTAATCCTCTTAGCACTCCAAGAAAACTCGGGAAAAACTCTGATCTTTATTAGCAGCAGCTGAGTGTGCGGGTTCTAATCATCCACTGGTTCGTTTTCATACGTGCGCGTTCCGTCTCGTCTCCTGACGACTTCAAGACAAAGATGAAAAAGATAAAGTCTGGAGAGTCAGATATTTATTTGAATTATTTAGGGAAAATTGTATGAGATATGGATTTTTTGATTATAATTTGTCAATTGACGAAGTTATGTCAAATATTTTGGAAGATTCAGCATCAAGCAATGCATTAGGAACAAACCTATAAGATTTGGGATAAAGCTATGGACACTATATTCTTCAGATGGATATATATATATGGGTCAAAATAATACTTTTCGGCCAAACCGTGCGCGGGGGGTCAACCGATTTCGACGCCAATTTTTTTTCATGTTCCATTGGTTGAAATATGACTCTTTGAATTTTTAGAACTAGATTTAGGGTCCCTAGAATTTTTCAAAGTCTCAAAATCGAGCCAAAATCGCGCTTAAAATGATCATTTTTGAAAGACCACAGAATGGTGAGTTTTGATGCTAAAATATTGTGCCACAGCTCACTCTCTTCCTTTTTTCACGTACTTTTTTTGGTGTATTTCAAAATTAGCTCATGTAATCAGGAAGCATTCAAACGGACAGAAAAGTAATATACGTTTTACTCGATTTTACCTCATCTTCAAACCCCTGTAAAAGTGTCAATTTTGAGTTTTTTTGATCACATAAAAGCTCATCTGTTTGGTCTTTTTAAGACGAAGAAAACTAGCTCTCGCACGTTGAAATACATAAAAAATTGACGGAGATACGGCCTTTCAAAGTTGGCAATTTTAACAAAAATCGCATTTTTCGCGATTTTCAAGTGATGACTAAGATGCGTTCGCCTATTTCGATCGAGCTGAAAATTTCAGACAAACTCAAAAAAATGTTCCCAAATAAGGTAAAAATTGTCGGGAACCGGATATCGAACCCTATCATACAGTGGGCGGGCATCTCTTTTTATCGATTTTTCAGCGTATTTCACTATTTGCCTTGATTTAAAGCGAGCTTAAAAATCTTTAAATTCATTTTTTCTTTGTAAATTAAAAAGTATACATGTTTTTTGTTTGTAGTATAGTAAATTTATATTTTCCATACCGCCAGATCCATCAATCGCGGTCAGAAATACATGATCATGGATTATCGAAAAAGTTCTATGTCAACGTAGGAAGGTCCTTCATGGGTGAAAGAAATAAAAAAATTGGGCTATTTTCTTTATTTTCAAGCTATGTTGACGATATCGTACTCAGTATCATAAGAATATAGTTTGGCTTTCATTGTCACCGTATTGACTGGTTCAAAAGAGTGATATTGCCTGGTATTTTTGACCGTCTTAGCTAATTTGAATCTGGAACTCCGTTTCTTGCCTTTCGATTCAACGTCTTTGTCACTCACATACAAGTATCTGAAATATTTTTGAAACATTATAATTGTATAAATGTCATGATAAACAAAATGATTAATTATGTCATACTTTATATCAGAGTCAGTTTCACTGAGATAAGCATACATCTGTTCGGCATTCAAAATACAGGTGCCTTGTAAAGATGCTTTTCTTGCACTCCGTTTTGCAGCAGCTCCTATACCACCTGCTGCGCTTTTACCGTGAGAAGTCATAAAAAAGTTATAAGAAATAACTTTCAAGCCAAAATCGTTTTCATGGTAGCAGATGTTAATCAGATGATTTCTGAAAAAAATAAAATAATCATACCTTGCTGCTTCTGAATTGTTTTAAAATCATTATTGGAATGGATTTTTACACCAAAATTGATTTTTTCAATCTCAAATCACATTATTATTACAGGAAAGCCACTACGGTTGAATGTTACGGTCAATGCTGATTTTGAAATTATTATTGACAGTTGATTGAAGTCTTGATTATAACACACATATTTTATAGAGAACAAGTACTCAAAATATTTTTTATGCTTCAAATACGTATTCATGTGAATCAACGGAAACTAACATTACTGCTTCATCAGATTTTTTTTTTCAATTGAAAACTATACCTCGAAATATCTTTGGCTCGAAAGATGATGTAATTAATAAATTTTAATCATATTCATTAGTCAAATACTGTAGAGTAAATATAAAAATACGATCGAGGTTTATTATGGTACGACCAATCTTCTAAGCTCTTTCCTGTTATTTTGATTCCTAGAACTATCATCTTTATTTTATAAATGATTATTTTCAGATTCTTTTAAAGTTCAAGGAGCTTTCTGAACAGTTAAAAGATAATCAATCTTCAGAAAAGAAAAACACTTTTTTACTTCTTGGTAACAATTTTAGGATATTTGAGTGAACTTAATCATATCTTACTTGTTCTTAAACTGTATTGGAGCTCCGTCGCTGTAGTATATCAATTTTTGTATCCAAGGAAACTCTTTTTTTAATTCATTCAAAATAGCTTCTTGGAATGCATTCACAGAATAAGCTTGATGTGTTTTAGTGTCTGAGATTACACAAAAACTTTGGCATGAAAACTCATTGGTATCAATATCTCTATAGTACAAGACCCCAGTAAATAAC